AGGAAGCCATCAAAGGGGCTGCCTCGTGTCTTGATTAAGGTATAAATATTAAATTAGCCAGGGCTATCATAGTCAGCTCTACAGCTCTACAGCTTTAGCTGCTGCTGCTGCTGCTGGTGCTAATGAGCCATGTCTGTGAGTGAAAGAGGCAAACAGGATGCGGTTTACTCAGCGTTGAGTTGGACCATACTATCAGCTACCAGGCTCCAACTCTCAAAGTTGTTTAATTATACATGGCAGCGCCTAAAAGTCAGCTAATTGATATGCAGCAGCAGCGGCAGGATCAGAAGCAGGAGCAGAGACAGAGGCTGGGAGTGTGGGAAAGTTAATGAGCCAAAACTGGCAGCATGTGTGCCAAGTTTCGACAGGCAGTCAAGCCGTTGCTTTGCATACAAACTATACTCTCAAGTGCCCAGAGGGTTGATCGAGAGCCAAGCGAATAACTCAATTTTCATAGAGTGGCTGTTGCACATGGCAAACCAATAAACACTTTTTGCAACAAATTCAAAACTGTGCCCGCAGCAGCCGCAGCAGCAGCAGGAGTAAAAGCAGCGACAGGCACAGTAAAACTTTTTGACAGCGACAAAATTGCGTACAACTGCCAACTGCATTTGGGGCGTGGCACTGTTGCCAGCTGCATATGCTGCTTGTGGTGGGCCTGGTCATGATGGGTTGGGCGCCGCCGGAAGCGTTTGCCGAATTAACAGCAGTGAGTGGCTGCAACTTTGCTGCATCTGAAAGGTAAAGAAACTCACTGACACACAGCCAAAACAATAACAGCTACAAAATGTCTCAAGAACATTTCAATTTGTGCACCCCGCACACATACACACACACGCACACACACGTGTGCTCACAAAGTTTTTGCCCGCATGCGGACAAATGCCAAAATAGTTGGTTTTACAACAAAAGTTTTGTAGGAAACTCGCACCATTTCAAAATTGAAAAGAAATATTGGTTAGCAGCGGCAGAAAGCAGTGGAAAAAACAAAAATACACAGAAATAGAAATAGAAATGGAAATGGAATCGGTGCAAATAGAAAATAAAAATTCGAGCCTTAGTTATTTGCAGCGCAGTTGGAACGCGTTGTTTTCAGTTCTGGGCTTTAGTCGGCTCACCACAGCTGTCAGCTCGTGTGATTGAGAGGCGCCCGACGCCCGCCTCGCTGTAGTATGGCATTTTTTAATTTCGCCGATTTGTAGGCGGTCACAGAATCCAGCTTATATTTAGATGCAGATGCTCTATGGGAATTGCATTTAGAGCGAGTGGGCTGCAGCAGCTAAAACGGCCTAAGGGCATTTGTGATCAGCCTAAAAGCATGCTACAAAATTTTAAAATTACTGACAGCCAACTATTCGTTTGACTTGACTCAAAGCAACTTCGATCATTTTACTATAAATTAATATTAACTTGTAGAAATTATCGTTTAATTAGATGGTTCACGATGTCTGTTAGCAAATCTTTGAAGAAATGTCATCTTTCTTATGAAACTATTCAGTTTTGCTTGTAAAGATCTGCAAGATCACCTGATCTAATCTTATCGTTCATTATCATACATTTAATTTTGTTTTGTTGTTAAGATTTAAAAAGCGTTAGCGCGAATCTGCAGCAAAGATTTTTCGTAGTGCTGATAGTTGAGCGCAAGTTGAATGCTGTTTTAATAATTTATTTGGTGTGCACAGCAGACTGCTCATTAACACGCACACATGCACACACACAGCCACACTAAAATATGGGGCCCTTGAGCAAAACGCCACACTCACACGTACTTGCATTTAGCAGGCAAGAGGCATAAGGCACGCACAGAGCACGCACTTGGCAGCGCCGGCATTGACTCGGTCGGTTGGCTGCCGCATATCACCTTAATTACAGGCAACAGTCTGAGTGCAGTCAGACGGCAAATGGAAGGTAGGCAAACGGCTTTTATGCTTGGCCTGTCATTGCCACGCCCCTGCTGCTGATGCTGCTTCTGCCTTACACTGGCCCCGGGTACTACGTGCCATATTGTCGTTGGCGTTACGCTTTAGCGATTTAGCACTGTACTTGCACGGCAAGCAGGCGAATTCAGCTTGCACTTGACTGCTGATAAGCGTGTGATTTTTGCACACACGCACACACACACAAACACACACACACACACGCGCTAGGCAAGACACACATTCATTGAAACAGCTGCCGTCATGGCCATGAATTCATGCGCCGTTGAGTTGCGTTTATGCCAGTTTTATGTTACATCTAAGTGAAATTTAAGGACTCCACTCAACAACGTTCTATATCCAGTGCATAGTTGTGTAAGCGGCGGATGGGGGCTCGGTTGGGTGGTTTGCAGAAGGGCATTTGGGTGCAGCTTTTCACATGATGAGTTTGCCTACTGCGGAAGCAGGAAGCCATCAAGGCAAACATACACACACACAGTCACAGCACACACATGCCCATTCGCCTGGGCAAATCAACAACCAGAATTCAGGTTCGTCCACAGGTGCACAGGACGTTGCCACTCGTTTCGACCACAGCTGGCAACGAGCTTGGGTTCCGGCCATTGTAGAGCAGCTTCGTTTCGATTCTAATAACTCCAATTACAAATGGCGGCTGGTTAAACCGTTGTGCATATGTGAACGTAGCTGTCTTTGTGCGCGTTTCTCTGTATGTGTTTGGGGTGGTAGTTGGTTCAACTTGTTGCAGGACTTTATGACATGCCTGTTACTTTATCCATGCTATTATTTCAAGGATTAACTGTGGAAGGACAACGCACGGCTGCACAACCAGACACAGACACCAAAGTCGTAGCCGTTGGATAGGATTTGCTTTCGAAAACAAATCACACATAAAACGAGCTAACCAGGCAAATGGCATTGGGACAGAGCGTGCGGGACACAAAGTGAGAATGGAAAAGGGGACGCCCAATTAGGCGGCAATGAAAGTTAGCTGGAAAGTAGCTTTCAGCTGCATCGAGCAATTGAGCAGAGATGAAAATGTGTCAGCTTAAAATGTTTATTCCTGTATTGGTATTTACAAAACTAAGTAGTTGGCTTGATGGCGTGTGCGTGTGTACGGCTGTATGGATGTGTGTTATCAGGAGTACGCTATCGAAGCTCACTTGACGCGAAAGCGTCGCAGAGCGGGCGGCAGATAATCCTGTTCAGACACCACATTGGCCGGCAGGTACTCAGAGCTGGGCGAGCGGGCTGAGCTCACTGGCGCGGCCGGCGCCTGTGAGGCAAAGTTCAGGACTGGAGCGCGGCCTTCGTTGGAGATGCGTGAGGCGCCGGGTAATTGATTGTACTGGTTCTGAATGGCCAGTTGGGCATTGGCCGCATCTTGTGGCGTGCGATATTTGACAAAGTGCACCTCGGGCTTGCTGGAGGAACTGGACTTCAGCGCGTTGAGCTGCTTAGCCAGATTGGCAACATCTGCTTGTTTGCTGAGCACATAAATGGCGGTTTCCTGCTGGGCTGATTGCTTGGCCAGCTGCAGGGCGGCGCGTTCGAAGCCACGATTCTCGGGCGTGCGAATGAACACAACGCGCAGATTTTTCCTTAGAGAGTCGGCGATTTGCTGATTATTGATGCCCTCGTCGAACTGGTCCTCGGGCGCGGCATAGGTATAGAACTCCTTTTGGAACTCTTCGACCAGAGGCGCCGCCTGCGGAATGATGGCAACCGGAGCCGGTGCAGCAGCTGGTGCCGCAATGGGCAGTGAGAGCTCAGCCTCTCCATGCTGTTGCTGCGTGGCTGACGCCAATCCATTGCTGGGAACAAGAGAGAGGCCCTCATCCGCTTGGGCGACCGGCTGATAGTTGTAGCCCAAATTGTCGGCGCCACAAACGACTGCCCATAGGCACATCAGCTATGGAGGTAGGTGGAATTAGCATTGGGGCTGTTATCGATCGGTAGCACCTTAAGACTTACAATAAATGCACGCATTGTTTGTTTTCTTTTTTGTTCCACACGGCTGAAGCTAAGAGGTGAAACTAATGTTGGGAATCGAAGAAGCAGCGGCTTTTATAGGCGCAGTCGACTGCAGCTCTATGGCGACTTATCCCCACCCCCAACTCCCAATGAAAGCGATTGGTAGCTGGCATCTGTGACCTTGGCAGCGAATGCGATATTAATTTGTTATTTATGCCATGCCAAAGTCATTAAATAGCCGCACGCATTTAAATACAACCAAGACAAGACGTCTAGTAAGCCCAGTCAGCATCTGCGGCCGTTTATCTTGGCTTCAACGCCGTCGCATTTTGATTTAAATGCACTTTACGACACCTATAAATATGCATGGACCGCTTTGTCTCATTCTGTCACATTCACCAATCCTAATGTTGTTGTTGGAAAAAACCAAAGCCTAAAAGACGTCCCACTCCAAAGCAGCACAGCTTATTGTGAACAAATAAACAGCTACCGATTTTGACTGATAATATCCCAAGCGCTACATAAGCTAGTAATTATAATTTTCATACTTTCCCGAAAGTTTTGTTTTTATCCACCCATCCTCCTTGCAGAATGCCTCAATACATTATGCCCAGGCGGCTAATAAAGTTTCTTGACTAATTTAAGCATTTTGAAATTCATGGATACCAAAAACAATACAAAGTTACTCTTGTAAGAGCGCTCTAGTCGGCAAGACACGACTAAGAGGTACCCTGTAACCAGAACAAAGAATATACAATGTTAAAAGTATACCCAACAATCGGATTTGAGGTCAGTGTTTATCAAACTTGAATATGCATATAACATTTTGTAGATCGTGTATCCTCAGTGTTATCCCTAACCTAACCTTAAACTATATAGCTGATTTGAAAATCGAAGACGGGCACACAGATGAACCTGATATGCTCGAATCGGCAGCTGATGCTAAGTATAAAAGCCTTTTATAGCCTGTTAGTTATATTCGCACAACAGCATAATACCAGCTTACACCCATAAAATATAGTACCAATTAAAATAAGAGAATTGACAAAAAATATAACGCTTTTTTAGGTGAAATGTATATCGGGTCGAAATTTAAAGTAAAAAGTGTGCTAAAGTAATCAAATTCATATTTTTATTTCGTACAAAACTCTCTCGTCATGCTGGGCATTATTATATCATTCTACTGCTAGTTAAGTACGAGGCTAGAAGAAACAAAATGCGCCTAATGTGGTCGTGGTAGGCAAAACTAGAAGTAAAAAGACCTGGGTAACAAGATTGGGAGCACGCAAACTTGAGGCTGAATTTGAGACGCTGGCGCTATGCTTGGACCTTGGACACACCTGTGTTGATATTTTGCAACAAGAATTTTAAGTCATGAGCCGCCAGCCAGGATTAAAGCAGCTGGCGGGTACTCGTACCTGCAACGTTTCCCAAGGAGCGGCAAAACCCTGGCAGCTTTGACGTGACTGGCAAACTTTTTGGCAGGCGCCGCTAACGAGCTACGTTCTCTTAGGTACCGGTTCTCATGTTGCTCAAAAATTCTCAAACTAAAACTTGCTCAACAGATTTGTAGTGTCAGGATACCTTTTTTACGACTGCACTTCAGTGTGCCACATGGCGGTGTGTGTTTGACCTCTGACACTAAAACAATTTGCAAAGCAACATGATGTCAGCACGAGTGTCATCGTCAGCGTCGGCGCTGCCATAATTCAGTTGAAACATTCTTAAAGCACCGCTTGTCGTTAAGCTTCACGGATGGATAGCGCGTTAGCTGGTGGGACAAGTAGCTGGGCAGCCCCAGCTCCGCGCATACCTCATTAAAAAGTTTTCCAGCGACAACGTCGACAGCAGCGGCAGCAGCAACAGACACATTGCCTAAGAAAATGTTAGCATGGACACAGATCGCATCGGGGCGGGGCCTGGCCTGGCCTGAGTAGCACCCTACCACCTTCATGATTATCTAAGAGATATCTTAAAGATAATCCGAAACAGTGCGGATGGCTCAACGCAAGCTCAAAAGTGAAATGTTTCGACTTGTCAGCCAAGTCATTAATTATTCATAATACTGCGGTCAGGCCTGGCCCAGCTCTGTCGTCTCTATTACTAAACATCTGTATACCCTAGCAGAGTATGCTACACTTTGGTGACATTGATAACATCACAGGTAACATTGATATAAAGCAGTGCACGCAACATTTAAAATGCATTATAAATAGAAATAGAAATATAAATATAAATATAACTCATCAGTACTCGGATGTAAATTCCTGTTTTGATTGAAATCAGAAATAATTTTTTTTTCTGTAAAGCCGAACAGAGACACATTGGTGACATTGATAACATCAAAGGTAACATTGATTTAAAATATATTATAAATATAAAAAATAAAAATAAGTATGCCCGAAGAGTATTAAGTCTGCTACTCCGAAAATTGTTTTTGTTTTGATTAAAATCAAAAATTATTTTTCATGTAAGGCCACTAATTTAAGGCAATGAGTAGACTCTCGGCACAAGCTATTCGAAGTGCGCAATTTTGACAAGATAATATAATGAGATTGAAACTGAATTGCAAACATTTTAATTAGGTAGAAGACAATAATAATGAAAATGTGAACTTTTTACTTTTATGATAGATTATAAAGCAAAAACTAATTAAACATCTTTAAAAAGCTTAGATTTGATTAAATAACTTTTCTAAAATATTCAAATTGACAAAAACAATGTAAACAAAAATGTGTAACCGGAATTGAGTTTTCATTAAGAGAAAATATATATATGTTGATTATCCCACCCAAACATAAGAAGGGAGAGAACAACATTGCACAAACTGATTGCTTTTATTTTCTATTTATTTCTAAGTATTTATATATAGCAGTCTTTGGCACCGGTCCTTTTTAATCTACGCCTAACGCCGCTGCGCTCGAGGCAAATATGGCCGAAAGAGCGCCTGCAGCTTGGCGGCTTCCAGTTCCCTCGCTTGTTCGTCAGTCTCGTAGTCAGCTGCATCCTTGGGCAAGATCTTGAACACCACTGGATCGGGCTGTGCCAAGTGCTGAGGTGGGTTGAGGTGAATGACATTTGCGGTTTCCACTGCATGACTATAGCTGTTGCCCGGCAGCTGATCGTAATTGGCCCGCAGCCTGCTCAGAGCCCGAGTTACATCGGCGGGCGTGCGATATTTGACAAAGTGAACTGTTGGTCTGTGATCCGCCTGCTGCTCAATGGCTGCCTTTTGTTCGGCCAATGCGGCCGCATCCATTTGCCGCTGGAGCACGTAGATATCCAAAGCTTTGCTAGCCGCCAGCTGCTTGGCCGTCAGTGTGAACAGACTAGTCTCCGGCGTGCGTATGAAAACAACTTGCTGCGGAGGTGCGAGTGCTGTGGCAAGCTGGCGAGCTGCTTGCAGGGGCAAGCTCTGATCGTCCTCGGGTGGTGCAGTGTAGCTGAAATACTCCGTCACAAGGGGACGGTGTGAGTATTCATTGTTGGCTGGCAAGTAGGCGCTGTTCGGGTCAAAGGCATGGCTGGTGCAGAGACACAGCCAAAGGCTCTGTGGCAAGTGAAAAGTGGAAATTTCATCAGCCAGAGTGCAGTCACACCGTGTTGCCCGTTGAAAAACTTTTATCTTACCATTAGGGCGCGCATGTTTGATGGTCTTTGGTTGTTCAATGTTGGGTTTCGCTTTGCGGCCTGCGGCGGCTGATTTTTAGCGCTTGAAGCTCAGCTCGATTATAATCTAGTCACAGCAACAAAACCATCCTTATATACGACACAAACAACAAAACTGAAATTTCGGCTGCGTTGACGTTGTTTGCATTGTTTTTTTTTTTTTTTTTTGCTGGTTGTAGATTTTGGCTTTGTTTATGGATTTTTAAAAGATTTTTGCACACATTTTGTGCTCTGCTTGTTGTATTTGCCTGATCCGATTATCCATGTTAATGTCGCTCAGTTTGGAAATGCAAATTTGGTGGCTTGCCAGAGAGCCGGGCCAAAAACTCATGTGAGTTTGACCTGAGCTCGGCTTGAACTTGAATAAAATTTACAAATGAGCTCCCAATTTGAATTAGTTATAAAATTATTTTCATATGCGATTTCTGCTCGCTGCCATAGACGGATACATTTGTTTTGATTCCAACACACTTTACCCCTCCGCCCCTGCCAGCACAACACACTATTGTATTTTACTTTCACTTGAATTCGATTTTATGATCGAGTTTTATGTCTGTTGTTTGGGTTAATTTACACGTCGTTTTGGTGTTTTTGTTTTGTTTAATTTAATATGCTGTCAAGCCTCGCTCTAGATCTTAACCGATAATCAGCTTAACGTAATTAACAACCTTCTCTACATATTCTTGGATGAAACAGAACCATTTGTAGAGATATTGGCAATTTTATTGTCTTAGAAGCTTGAAACGCATGTATCTGACAGTCTTATGGTGCTACTATTTAAATGTCTTAATCTGAGGTTTTTAGAAGTGGGCGCGTCTTCTGCTCTTCTGAGGTGTCAGATAGCTTTTTGAGCCAGACGGCAGATACGATTTCTCAGTGGGAAACACCATGCGACTGTCTGAACGGTGTCTTTCATTGACTCGAAAATCGATGCGTCGTGATCTTGCAGTGCGTGCATCCAAGTCATAGGGACTAGGTGCCAGCTGCTGCTCTGGTAAAGGCAGTGGAGGCAAATCAAGGCGACCCTGATCTGCACCACCTTCGTAGGACTGTGGTAAACTGCCATAGTTGGACAAGGGAGGAAGATAGGTTGGATGCGGTTCGGGCGGCACAGCTGATAGCTCTTGGGGATAGTAACCGTGCGATGCCAATGGCTGCTTGTCCGTATAGTAGGCCTGCGGGGCCGGCTCCGTGGTCTGCGAGTAACCCAATGATGGCTGCTGCAAGGATTCCAATGACTGAGACGTGGCTCCTCCGTACTGCGCCTGAATGTGCTGCTGCGCCTGCAAGGCCTCCTCCTCCGTCCTGTATTTGACAAAATGAACTTGTGGCTTGTGTTTATGTTGCGTCTGCAGGACGCTGAGTTTGCTTGCCAATTCATGGGGATCAGTTTGCTTGTTTAGCACATAGATCGCAGTTTTATCCTCGTTGGTTTGTGTGGCCAGTGCATGGAGGGCGCTATCGACGACCCTGTTCTCGGGCGCCTTGATGAACACCACCTGTAAGTTTTTCTTTGACTGCGCCGATATCTTGTGCTCTATCAGCTCAGACTCATCGACCGAGTCGTAGGGTGCTTCAAATGCGTAGAAATGCTTGTGATAATCTGTATGGTCTTCATAATGATCCGTGCTGTGATGGCTGTCTAATTCCTCTGCTTCATAGCCAAGAGCTGGAGACTTTGGCTGATAATCGTAGCCCAGCTCTGCCGAGCATATAGCCAAGAAAGTTAAAAACTTCAAAAAATATTGGTTAAACCGGGCTCCAACTCATTGTTTAAAGACTGCCTTACCACAATTTTCCGCATGCTGTAGGCGCAGCAAAAACCAACGATCATTTGTCAAGCAGTCCACAATCCGATGAGCGTTTTATAATATTTGCTTGCAGACTGTAGGGCCAAGTATGGAATAATGATGGCAGAGGCTCACCATAAAAGGTAAATAGTTCAATGTTAGCCTGTTCGAATATTACAACATTTGCTATGCCAAAAAGTTGTGCAAATTTTAAAGTTTCAACAATATTTCATTATAATTGTTATTATTATTTATTTAAAAACTTGCAATTTGAACTAAACAAAAATTATTTACAATGGGCTAAAATATGCGTGGGAATCAGTTATGGTCAGTCTGGAGTCAAAAGCTAGCTGCTCCCAAAGACGACTCCTAAAGGCGACTGCGCAGCACCGATGCGGGCAGATACGAGTTCAAGGGCTCGTGCACAGCTGGCGCTGCTTGTGCGGGTGTGCGGGAGGCAAAGTTCAGCACGGATGCGACGCCGCCATCCTGGTTAATGGAGACACCGCCCAGTTGATCGTACTGACCCTGAATGGCGCGTTGGGCATTTATGGCATCTTCCGTTGTGCGGTACTTGACGAAGTGCACCTGCGGCTTCTGATAGGTATTGGAGCGAATGTTGTTCAGCTTGTTGCCAAGATCGTTGATGTCGGCCTGCTTGTTCAGCACATAAATTGCGGTTTGTTGTTCGGCTGCCTGCTTGGACAGCGCCAATGCAGCATCTTGTACACCACTGTATTCGGGTCCCTTAATGAATACAACGCGCAGGTTCTTGCGAAGATTGTTTGACAGCTGATCTTGGTTGATGGGCTCGTTGAAATCGCGCTCGTCTGCTGTGTAAGTGAAGAATTCCTTGAGCAGCTCAGCAGGGGCTTGGTATGATTGCTCAGCGGGTGCGGGTGCACCAAAACCTGGTTCAGTAGCTCCAGTTTCCGCAGGTGGAATATATGAAGCTTGGCCGACTGCGCTGGGCGTGTAGGAGATGGGCTGATCCACAGGCTGGTAATTGTATCCCAGTCTCTCAGCGTAGACTACGGCCAGCAGGCAAATGGTCTATGAAAGCAATGTTGTTTATCGAATTTTTTGAGTTTGGATAATTGGTATTTTGCAGATCCTGTCAATACTCACAATAAGGACACGCATTTTGTATATTTTTAAGATAATACTACCGAACTATTGGACGTATCGAGCTGAACTCTGTTGTTAACTTTAACACCCACGCTTTTTATGCGATACGAAATCATTTTGGAAATGCTGCGTTTTTTGCACCACAATCAATTTACGATATCGTTTTTTATTGGTCATTTTTAATTTGTGCACCACATTAAGCGGTATTTGTCAATTTCAATTCGCTGCTCACTTTTTTCTTTTATTTCAACTGATTATGTTTTTATTTCGCAGCATTTTTTACCCTTTTACTAGTCCCCAATTCGCATTTTTACCTGTATCTTTTGCCGTTTACTGCACCACATTTGCAAATTTTAGATGACCTCCTTATTTTACAAGGGCGAACTAGCCTCTGGAATTCCAGGCAAGTAATTTAAACATCAAACTACTTCTATTAGTTAAACAAGTATTTGATTTACTGAGCGACGTGACGTCAATACACAACATCGACCCAACCATAGCTTAAATCTTAATTAAATTGATATTGAAAATAAAACTAAAATGTATTTTTAAAGACAAAATAATTGGTCTTTTTTGATGCTATTTGCTCTAAGATGTAGGGATGGGTAATTTCGACCTATGTCTATATATAATATTCGAGAGTACTATTCTTAAATGGGAAGCTATCTAGAAGCTAAATTGATCCAGACACACTATTAACATAAACCCAAAGGTCGTGAAAATCTGATGAAATCGACAAAGTTATGTGGGTGGGAAATTTTAACCTATGTCTATATTGGGCTACGACTACGAATTTTTACATACATTTTGACAAGGAATAATGTTGCCAGATTTGGAAGCCAAATGGATCAAAAGTTATCGGCGGGGGAAATACCCGGCCTTTTCCTCCTCTTAAAATTATTTGCAAATGCCTTTTTAGCCGATCGGACGACAACAAAAGACTTTCTTACAATAGATTTCTCGCAATTTTCCCACTCATGCAAATGGAATTTATCGAAACCCCGAAGTCTTAACGTGCACCTTCATCACATTAGGTAACTACAGTGAGTCTCAGCTTTGTAGTTTTTATGGTTCGGGCTGTGCGTTGATCACCAATCAGCCAGTCAGGACAAACAGTTATATATAAAGAGATTTACGGCTAAGGGTAGAAAAACGTGTTTTTTGGATTAACAATTAATATTTAAATCATTTAAGAAACTCCTATGATATAATCTTGCTAATAATTTTACTAACAAAGACACTTTATTCAATCTTAAATATTATTAACTATTATAAACATAAACATAATAAAAAGTGGATGTTTTAAAAGCCATTAAAATTTTAATGATTATCTATTGCCATTTTAAAATAAAAGATGCAGATATATTTTTTGGTTCGCTAAAAGAATGTATGAATTTGTTGTGGTATTGACTACGTCTGACTGATGAAGTAATATAATAATTGTGAATATTTTAGTAATTTATTATATTGTGATTTTAATATTATGCACTGGGTCGATTATGTCCAACTTAGACAGAGTATTTATATAGCATTAAAAAAATTTAGAATTTCCCGGGATGACATTGCCCACGTCCAGGCTTGTTAAATGTCAAATGAATTCATAAAAAGGTTCCATTCCCGAACATATATTTAACTGCATTTCAATTCACAAATCAATAAAGAGAAAATAAAAATCGAAACTTTTGAACTTTTTTTTGTATATATGACACTTACATTAAATGTATGCCCAATTGCCAATTCTTTCCTCATTTGCAGGCTCGTCTTTAATGATACAGGTATCAAACTATAAACTGATGTGGTTTTTTATTTATATTTATGCAAATCGGGGATAGTGGGTGCTCTTGAATATAGCATCTATTGTCTCGGCTTGTTATTGGCCATTCATGCGATCGCTCTGTTTTTACTCATACATAATGCAGTGAACTGGCTTTGACTGGCCTAGTCGTGATTGTTCCGTGTTGCAGTTGCCATAAATTTGGGTGCCAATAGTTTGTCTAACCTTTTACTTCACGCAGATTAACATTTTAATTATTATCCAAAAATTTCGTTTTGCGCCTCTTGTACAATAGGCGTACACACAAGATGACAAAATGTTAATTTTTATTGGTTTCCACTTGGCGTCGATGATATCGTCACAGCGCTGGAATTTTTATGGCTCCCAGTGAACATCGAATGCCACTTTTTTTTTTGACACTGTTACATTGAAATTATATTTAGTGTCTTTTATAAAAAAGAAATGACTCTATCGTTAGACGGACCTTTATTTGTGGTCGGAGATAAGAAACATGTGGGATACGTTTTAAATAAGTGTATTTGAAATATTTGACAAATCAATAGATAACAGGGGCTCAACAAAACAGTTGATAAAATATACTTAGAGACGGTAACGCAGACGACGGAGGACAGACGAGGGCAGGTAAGAGTTTTCTGGAATTTGAGCACTTTGCTGACGGTACTGTGGAGCTGATGCGAAGTTCAGAGCATTGGCCACACCTCCATTGTGAGACTGGCTAGTGCCTCCCAGCTGATCGTACTGTGATTGGATGGCACGCTGTGCATTGGCAGCATCCTCGGGAGTGCGGTACTTGACGAAGTGCACCTCGGGCTTGTTGTTGCTATTGCTGCGAATGGCGTTCAACTTGTTGGCCAGATCACCGATATCGGCCTGCTTGTTTAGGACATAGATGGCGGTCTGCTGCTCGGCAGCCTGCTTGGCCAGAGCCAGAGCAGCGTTCTCTAGACCACGGTTCTCGGGACCCTTGATGAAAACAACGCGGAGACCCTTGTTGACGGAACTAGAAGCACGCTCCAAAGCTTGTGGCTCATCGAAATCCAGAGCTTCCCAGATCAGAGCCGCCCAATCCAGAGCCACCCAGTCCAGAGCTGCCCAGACCAGAGCTGCCCAGACCAGAGATGCCAAGTCCTGAGCTGCCCAGTCCAGAGTCATCGATACCAAGGGAACCTGAGCTGGATCCTCCAAGGGAGCCAATTCCGACACTTCCGCTGCCAGGAGCGAACGACAGTCCTGAGCTGGAGTGTCCTACCGGCTGGTAGTTGTAGCCAAGTTTATCGGCACAGGCAACGGCCACAAGGCACAAGACGATGAATGCGCGCATCTTTGGGGTTCTAGTTCTAGTTGGAGCTGCGAGCACTGAATGATGTGGTCAAGAGGTGAGGTGCCAGTTTTATACCAAGATGATTGTCACCCTCAGAATAAGCGTTTAAAAATTATGCTGGAAATCAAGATAAGGCTCGCCCCAATATGTGGTCGAACATGTTTTATTTTTTTTTTAAGGCAGCTTTGATAATTGCCTGAATCAAGCGACAGCTGTGGCGGCGGCGCTGATAAAAATTTGATGAACTTCGGCTTGAAAAGAAAATTTTTATGCAAATTAACCAACACGTATTGACGCCAACAGCGCAGTCGACGGCGACAGAGACTACGCTGGCAGCAGCAGCAGCAGCAGAAGCAGCTCCAAATTGTTTGGCTGTTCGGTAGCCAAATTCTTTTGTTCGCTCATTTTGTTATGCAAATCGAACCCGAACCGATTGAAAGTGAAACTCTGGCTAATGGCCACAAATATTTGTATATTTAGGCCAATATGCGAGCTAAATAATATTAAATTGCTCGGCGCCACACTTTTGGGCATTGTTTGGTTTAGCTCAATGCAATTTGTCAGACAATTCAAACGAAATCAATTTAGGAAACTCGTGGGTTGATCTCACATACACAACATAAGTTGATCTAAATCAACAACAATTAAGTACATTTGTATGTGGCGACATTCAAAAACATGTCCGAAGCATAATATGCTGTCGTAGAACTTGTATTTCTAATTTGTAAATTTTCTTTAATAGGTCGGCATCCTAATTCAACCTGCTGAACCCGTTTGTCGAACGAAAAAACCCAAATCCGTTTCCAAATTAAAATTCGAGTCATTTTAATAAAACCGAATTCCTAAGCGAAAAACATGCTATCTATAAATAAACCAAATTTAAATCGAATTAAAAACGGAACCAACAGCAGTTATCGGCCCACAAATACTCTGTACCCAGGCTTAAAATCCCATTTCAAGGTTTAAGTTGTCTTAAAGTTTATTTCCATTTTCCTACCTAAGTCAGTAACCAATCGTCATACTGTAGAAAATTTGGCATTTTATTTATAAAACAAGTTAGAGGTTCCAGTCGGGAGCCCCGACTAGGGAATACCCAAAATCCTTTTATTCCAAAGTTCTCTTGGTAGGATTCGAATTTGCAACTGACCGCACCACTTGCCACTGCCTCTACTCAACAGCCACAATATGGAGTGAGTCTTGTTGAGATAAAGAAACGAATTAAAATAGCAGCACAAAAACAATACAATCGTAATTGGGTTCACTACTAACTAACAGTTAAATATATTGTATATAAGCTATTCGATTTTTCTATGGCATTCTATCGTTTTTGGACATTGTCATGAAAATTTTGATAAAGTCCAAATGTGTGTAATCTATAAATATATATTTTTAGAAAAATGCCAAATTTATTTAGTAAAGGGTATAAGAAGTAAGAATCATCTATATTTTTTTCAATACGTAAATATTTTAAATAACAAATTTTATTTTCACAACAATAGGTCAACAATAACAATAACAAAACACAGATCAAAGTCTAAGTCCGAAGATCTTAGAAACGGAAACGGCGCAGAATGTTTGCTGGCAAATAGGTGCTACCCGGAGTCACAGGTGGAATATATGAGGAAACAGGCTCCACAGCCTCGGGCTCAGCCGCCTGTGGCGCTGGTGCAGAAGCCTCTGGAACGGCAGCTGGCGCTGGTCCCTTGGATGCAAAGTCAATGACGGGAGCAACACCACCATCCTGACGGGAGGCTGAGCCACCCAGCTGATCGTACTGTCCTTCAATGGCCTGCTGAGCCTTGGCAGCATCCTCAGGGGTGCGGTACTTGACGAAATGCACCTCGGGCTTGTTGTTGGTGTTGCTACGGATGGCATTCAGCTTGTTGGCCAGATCAGCAATATCGGCCTGGTTATTCAGGACATAGATGGCAGTATCTTGCTGGCCGGCCTGCTTGGACAGGGCCAGAGCAGCTTGCTCTAGGCCACGGCTCTCAGGTCCCTTGATGAAGACAACACGCAGAGCTTTGTTCAGCGAGCCTGAAACTTTCTCAGAATCAGCTGCATCTTGGAAGTCCTCTTCGTTCGCTGTATAGGTGAAAAATTCCTTTTGCAGCTTGGGCTGTGCTGCGGCATAGTTGGGAGCATCAGCGGATGGTTCAGCAATGGAGCCGCTTGGCTGGTAGCTGGACTCCACACTTGAAGGCTGAGCGAAGCCTGCGTTAGTGGAATCAGAAGCGGGTGCTGGTCCAGATGCATACGAGGGCGACACATTGCTAGCGGCGCCGCCAGGTGCAAATGAAAGTCCAGTGCCCGAGTGAGCCACCGGCTGATAATTGTAGCCAAGTTTGTCGGCGCTGGCCAAAGCCGCCAGGCAACAGCATAGAAAAACGAAAAAGTGTCGCATGTTTAGACTGTTTGACTGTTGGCCGCTGAATCTGATGGGTTAGCAGATGGCTTCTTGGTTTTTATGCAGGCGCCTATGTGGAGCACTTACCGTTATGCAAAACGCTTGAATAAAATGGTCAAATTATGCAATAGTTCCTCTCGACTGCCGGCTAGTTAATATGCAAAAGAACCGCTTGATTGGACAGCCACCCTGAGTTTATGGTTCCTTACCTGGCCGCAGAAGATATTGATCACGTTACCGTCACCGATACCGGCACTATAAAATATTCTGCATTTCAAAATAATTCTCATTATTGCCGTTTCTTCTTTAAAAAAGCCTTGACAAAATGTTTCTGTTTATCACTATAATCAGTATAAATCGAGCTTTAATGAGTAGCTTGTTGGCTGACTGGCCAATAGATCGTAAACTAAAATCTATGCGATACACTTGCCTATTTCATAAACATTTGTGCAATCAACACGGGATCCGAAGTGTTACCCAAAGGCACTCGAAAATTAAGCAAAACATGCAAATGATAGGTCGTATTATAACAAAACATATTTTTAACGATCCGCGAAATTTATATTGCTTTGTCGCAGCTCTACGGCTTTGTGCTCTGCTTTATGCTAATGTTGCGGGTGGAAACGACCTTCCGCAGCCGGCAATGGACGTGGAGTTTGAATGGCGTCGGAAGTGCCGAAGACTTCATCTCTAAAAATAAACGCTATCTCTTTGGTCGATCGATAAGCTAATTTGCTGCTGAGCATGCAGCGCGATGTCAGCACTAAATAAGATAATTTGATAATTGGATGTTTAATGAATTAGTTGGCGAAGCTCATTTGCCAATTGCTTTGACTGATTACAATTAAAACAAAGTTTGCTATACTTTTGCACTGTTTTGCAAAGTTATAGTTAGCTCTGCACCTACAATGAGGCAAATCATAATAGAAATAATAATTCTTCGCACTGAAAAAAACCTTTGCAGCTTTATAGGCATAAACTTTTTGGGGCTGTGGGTCTGTCTTATTATCCTATCTTCTATCTATAATATATTGTAATAAAGGTTAATACAGCGATTCTCAAAGGCATAAACTGGACATCTCTCTATACATTCTCCACCAAAATGCGTGCCATTATTTATCATCTTCTGCTTGGTTACCGTTTCCTGCGGCCGAGCCGAGCTACAAAAATTAGCCTATTGGACATTGCGACCCTAGCCTAACCGTCAGCTCAGGAATTGACGGTGGTAATATTGGAGATGAAAGCTTTGTCCGTCGCCTTGTCCAACTTCTTAAAAACTTAAAAATTAAAATTAATAAACATGCTGTGGATCTGAAAGATAAGCAGCAACCTCTCTTTAAGCAACAACGTTTTTGCTCTATAAAATATTTATAGCCCTAGTTTGGCGCAGAGTATGTCAAATTGTTGACACGGCAGCAATATCAAACTGGAAAAATAAAAGGTTGTGGGACACCTTAGGTCATCCGCAAAGGGCCAAGATGCCTAAAATTTCCTACCTTAGGCGATCTACTTCAACAGCCGTCTACCACCTATATATATATCTGCCTCTGCGCTTACCATTATATACTAGGAAGAAGGTTTTGCAAAAAAAAAAGCGCAGGAGAGTTAGTTGCATATAACTCAACAATTAATTTAAGATACAACGTCTATGACCTAAACATTAGTACTAAGTTAATCAAGCCCCTTATTATAAAGTTATTTCTAATGCAAAGTATTAATAAAACTTTACACGGTATAAATGCGAAAATTCTACTATCGTATCTTCCATTAACTTGTGAATCTTTCAAAAACTTTTTGTATCTTTCAGATAATTATAAATGCATCAAATGGCTACGTTCAGGAATGTTCCAAAATGAACTTGTTTTAAACTGAAAATATTTATGCAAGCATTGAGTCAGGGCAATAACCGAGATGCTTACCAAGCCAAACATTCTTGCTCCATTCACAGGTAAAACATTTCTTCCGGTAAAATGGTGAATTTAAAAATAAAACGATGTGTCGTCATGCATAAGTTAATTTCAGCGGCTAATTCAAAAGGTTTTGCCAATGTTCTACCTTTCCCAAATGTATTCATTATTTATTTATTTTTGTTGCTGTTTCTTTTGGTGTGAACGCGGATGCTAAAATGGACGGTATTAAATTTGCCATTTACGATAGCTATGCCTTAATTGGATTCGGTTATAGTTTAAAGAACAAGTTCGGTAATTCTTAAGTAATTTCTCTGTAGAACCTAAATCCCAATGAGGAATGAGAGACGAAAACTAGCATGAAGAACCGGTCCCCCGTTCCCGTGTTCCCTAACTCAGAAAGTTGAAGAGCCTGTCCAGTTGGATAGTTTTGCATAATCACTTCATAAGCGCACTATTTTGCATACATGACTAGTTGAATTATGTGCCCGTTAAGAACCCACCTATTGTTCTAAGCGCGATCCCGCTACTAGGGCGGTGTATAAAAGGCACGTTGCGCAGCAGCAGGATTCAGTCTCAGCCATTGGCCGATCAGTATACACATCTTCTTTACAGTTCACCATGCGTTTCCTCGTCGTTCTCTGCCTGTTTGGCGCCGCATGCGCCCAGTACAATTATGGACAAGGACTTGACACCGGCTCTGCCACCAACAGCATCCCGAGCGTTGCATACGACGAGCCCAGCTACAGTGGCGCCGAGAGCAGCCCAGGCTCATCCTACGCTCCATCCGGTGGACTGAACAAGGAATTCTATACATTCGAGGCCAACGAGGAGGACTTCAACGATCCTGCTGGCAGCGAAAGAGTTGCCAACAGCGTAAACAGGGGTCTGCGTGTTGTCTTCATCAAGGGACCCGAAAACCGTGGCCTGGAGAACGCAGCTCTGGCCCTGGCCAAGCAGGCTGCCGAGCAGCAGACTGCCATCTATGTCCTGAACAAGCAGACCGACATCGGCGATCTGGCCAACAAGTTCAATGCTGTGCGCCAGAATGCCAACGCCAGGCCCGAGGTGCACTTCGTCAAGTACCGCACTCCTGAGGATGCTGCCAACGCCCAGCGTGCCATTCAGTCGCAGTACGATTCTCTCGGTGGTACCAGCCAGAACATCAACGGCGGAGTTGCCCCAGCCATCAACTTTGCATCTCGTGCCCCTGTCAGACAATCTATTGGAGGAGGTGGAAGCTATGTGGCTCCAAGCGCGCCCAGCAGCTCCTATCTGCCAGCCAACATTCTGCGTCGCCTGCGTTTGCGTTAGAATAATTGTGATTCAAGCTTATTTCGCTTATTGTTTTTTTTTTATGCAATTTATAGACGACCCCACAATAAAATCGACCAAATAAAGTAACACCAAAATTACAGCCACTTGTTTTTGCATTTGCTTAACATATTTCTTGCCGCTTTGCGCAAAAATATTGCATTTTTATGCTTACGATTTTGATTTTTATCACTTTTCCTTATAACGACATTAATGCAAAGCCGAAGTGGCGAGCCAAGCGACGAGACAAAAGACGAACGCAGCTATTTCAATGCGGAAAAGACATTTAGCGAAGCCGCCGCATTGTGTTTTACGAGAAGCCACGCTGACAGCCTCGAAGTCAGATTTGTATAAATAATAACCGCCGACGCGTTGTTAGACAGAAACCAAACAAGCTTCAAACTAAGAGAACCTCAGCAGCATAATCCAAGATGCGCGCCTTCATCGTAAGTTTCCGCCAGTAAAGATAAAGAATATATTCATGGACTATTTCTCCCCCAAATTAAAAATAGGTTATGTGCCTGGTCGCAGTGGCCTGCGCCGATAAGCTCGGCTACAACTATCAGCCTGTCGGACACTCCGGCTCAGGATTGTCGTTCACTCCTGGCAGCGGTAGTGGAGCAGGACTCAGCGGTGGTTCCCTGGGTGGTATCGAAGGCGGTTCTATTGGAGGTCTAAGCGGTGGCTCCCTGGGAGGACTTGCTGGCGATTTGGATTCCGGACTTGGCGGTGGCAGCATTGGAGGTGGTAGCATTGGCGGTGGTAGCATTGGCGGTGGTAGCATTGGCGGTGGCAGCATTGGCGGTGGCAGCATTGGCGGTGGCAGCATTGGTGGTGGCAGCATTGGTGGTGGCAGCATTGGTGGAGGCAGCATTGGTGGTGGCAGCATTGGTGGTGGCAGCATTGGTGGTGGTTCCGGTCTCGGAGGTCTCGGCAACCTCGGCAATGGTGGCTTATCCGGTGGTGCTCTGAACGCTCCAGTCTCTTACAATGCCCCTGCCCCAGCCGCTGAATTGGAGAAGGAGTTCTTCACCTACACCGCCAACGAGCAGGACTTCGACGAGCCCCAATCCTTGGACAAGGTTTCCAGCTCTCTGAACAAGGCTCTGCGTGTTATCTTCATCAAGGGACCCGAGAACCGTGGTCTGGAGAACGCTGCTCTTTCTCTGGCCAAGCAGGCTGCCCAGCAGGAGACCGCCATCTATGTCCTGAACAAGCAGGCCGATATCGGTGATCTGGCCAACAAACTGAACTCCATCCGCAGCAACACCAACAACAAGCCCGAGGTGCACTTCGTCAAGTACCGCACTCCCGAGGATGCTGCCAACGCTCAGCGCGCCATTCAAGGACAGTACGATCAGTTGGGCGGCTCTTCTCAGTCGCATGATGGTGGTGTTGCTCCCGCCTTGAACTTTGCTTCCCAGGCTCCAGCTCGTCAGGTGAACGCCCAGGCCCCCGAAAACTCGTACCTGCCCACATCTATCTTCCGTCGCTTGTAAAGAGTTCCTACTGTACGACTAGAGCTACGCAAGCTCCAGTGACTGCTTGTTAAATAATTCTATCAACTGTTATACATAAATGAATAAAAAAACTTTTCAAACTTAAAGATATTTCGAATGTTTTTAAAAATATTTGCTGTTGTTTGTTGAGTAATGTACTTAGGGCACAATAATTTCTATAATTTGCAAGAAAAAGAAAACATTATGTTTCAACATAAGATGAAATTTAGGCTCTCATTGAAAATCGTTATTCCCTATCTTCCACTCTTGTTATAAGCCAATTAATATTATTCCCAAAAAAGCTCCAGAGCTCCAAAACACAAAGAACCAACTTGGCTTATGTGCCACCTTGACAAAAACCCACAGCTCATGCAATACTATTTGAAAAATAAAGTGCAAATAAATGAGATCTAAAAACAAAACAGAAAATAAGTTAGACTGATTAAATAGGGATTATCCATCTAGGTGTTAACCTACCTATTTTATGGGCATGAATATGGCGTATTTAAATCAAATAAAAACACACTAGCTTTAAATTGACACATTACAAATGTGAAATTTTCCAAGGCTGTGTATACTATATAAATAACATATGCCTCTTAATACTCACTACATCACTTCTC